TATGGAGACTTTTGCGACAAAAGTGCCACTGCAACAACACTCTCGGGCAACTGCAACAAAATGAAACCGTAATTGTTTGTTTATTATGGCTTTTGAGTCTGTTGTTGTTGTTATTGTTGTTGTGGCTGCTATTGTTGTTGTTATTGTTGTTTTTGTTGCTGCTTGTTGTATTGTTAAATGTTAAAGTACTACACAATATTTATATTGGCATTGTTTGCGAATTCGTTGCAGTTTTTTTTACTTCATTGCATATTTGCTTTTAAATGCTCTGGTTTTAGGGTTTATATATTTTTATAATTATATAATTTTTTAATTTTTGGGTTAAAAATATATTCTATATATTTTAAAAGCTATATATTTTAGTAACTATTATTATTATTTTATTTCAGGCCGGCAAAAATATTTTAAAGCCATTTTTAATAGATTGTTATATTAACTTACAGATTTAATTATAAGTAGTTCTTAATTTTATTCATTTTTTTCACTACTTCATTCCTGTACTTAGTCTTTCCAGAATATTCATAAATTTAAAAAATATATACTATCTTTGTAGGTAATTTTCATTTAAAAACTTAATATCCTCTCCATAAAATACCACAATTTAATCCAAACTGACTGCCTTCTTATAGGCTATAAAGGCTATTATATCCACTTATCCTCTAATACTATCTAAATTAATTTATTATCACTTTTAAAATATTTAATTTTCCACTTACTTGACCTTCTTAAAAGTCCTGCTACCCCGACATCTAGGTAGAGTATCCTGGAGCAGAGCTGGACAAGATTAGCATCGGAGACACCCTCGCCGACGCACAGAGGGGTACCCATCGATGTGTGGCACTGCTGACACTTCAATGGGCCTCTCCGCGGGTCCAAGAGGCATTACTACCCCTCTCTACCCCTCCAGTAAGCAGTCCCCACGCCTCTGGCCCATGCCACATGCCTCAACTACCAAGGCTTAAGTTGCCTCATGCTGTGGCGCTATGCTGCGATTATGGCCACGGATTAACTTCCTCTTTTGGCCATCATCATTGTGGTTATTGTTGTTGGTGTTGTTGGTTGTGCTGGTGTTGCTTTGTGCTGCTCCTGCACCGATGTTGCACCTACTGCTGCGGTTGCACCTACTGTGGCTGCCACAACGGCTGCTGATTGCCGATTGCCAGAGCTTAATTATATCTAATTCGGAGTCGGTCGAGTTCGGGAGTTGCCGCCTCTTAGGCGCTGATTGCGATACGGTTTCTATTGCTTATCGTCCGATTACGGTTGCGGCTACGGTCCGATAAGATTACCCCCCAAAACCGGGTGGGGGGAGGAGGAGGTGAATGTGGTGGCAGCACCCCTCCTGGAAAAGCTAACCCCAAACGAGCCTAGAACTATGCTATAGGTTTTGTATTAGGGGCTTGTATTAAAAAAGGGATTTTTAGTTTAAACTTGTTATTGTTAGTAGTTTGAAAGTATTTTGTACTTTGAATATTAGTATTATTATATCAAGTACATTTTTCGATCCAGATATCATTAATATTTGATTTATTTGTGGTTTCTATTAAATATTTTCTAAGAAAAATTAATAAACAGTTTTAAAATAATAGCTATAATCTAAGATATTAGTTCAAGGAATAACAACTGCTTATGGTATATAGTTTTTTTCATTTACGTAATATTAAGGAGTTATGGAATATAGAAAATAGTATAATACTAATAATACATACAAAGTATAGTATAAAGTGTAGATTTTAGTACTATATACCAAACAGTGTATCACATAGAATATTAGTTATAAGTAATAATAAGTAGTAAAATAGTTATAGTAGTAATATTAGTAATATGTTGGTAATTATTGTGTATATTTATATACAATATAGTAGAAAGCAAAAGGAAGTGTGGAATTTTTAAATACTTATCTTTAATGAAAATAGTTGGAATTATACCTTCTGTTCTTTACAAGTACCGCGTATAATTATAAGAACTTTATGGCCTGTTATTATAATTATGATTACACAATTTAGTTCTAAAAATATTATTAAATATTTTCTAAGAATCTAAGAATATTAAATTATGAAAGGATATAATCTTGAGGATATTCATGAGACAATATATTCAAATTCAAGGTTCAGTTAAAGCTTTTCAATAAAAAATAACTAATATATAATATTAAACTAAAACAACTCTTAATATTCTCCTACATTTCTAATAATATTCTCTCCACTTTAAAAAGATCTCCTAAAAAATTGCAAAAATTTATTTCATTGTTGCAATCCCCTTTTTTTTGAATATGAATATATTTTAATAATGCTCCCTGACTACCTGAGGGGAGCCTGGAGAAGCTGGCCAGAAATCCCTAACACCTTATAACACCCTATAAATCAAGTGCTTAACCGTTTTTTACGATCGCCGGCGTTTTTTGTGTTTAGTTTTTGATTTTTTTTTCCTTTTGGCTTTTTTGCAACCTTTTGGCTAAGCTTGCCCCATTTCGAGGGGCTTTTACGGTTTGGATATTTTGGCTTTCAATATTTTATTTATTATTTCTTTGTGGCTGCTGAGCCGTCGGCAAGGTCAACTATCAAAAAAATACAAAAATTCGAAAAGCCATAACAGTGTTGGATTGTGCAACCACCCCTGACATTGAGAAACTATTTGGGGGGGGGGGAGAGCTTCTTGGACAGGAAATGACGACCAAATCAACTGCACATCCTCTTCTATATAATATATATAAAATATCTACATTGGCGTCGGCGTTGACAGTTTTCCAGAGTCCCAGAGTCCGGGTGGAAGAGTTTTCCCAGCGGCGTCGGCAAAGTAAAAACGGTTGCCAACAATACCCCGGGGCCGTGTTAATAGAAATGTTTTCAAGATTCGACAGAATCCCAGAAGTAACCCATGAAACACCAGTGAGGTCCAAGTCTCGGAGACTCTGGGCCGAGAGGACCAGCGACAATTCTCTGGAACTCCATAAAAATAGCTAAACGTGCAAGGGGCCGCCCAGAACTCAACCCCAGAGCGCCCCCCCACCTCCCTGACAAAAACGAAGAAAAAAAAAAAAAGAAAGACTGGAAGAAAACGAAAGAACTTGAGGGCTCTACTCTCCTCATTTCATTTCAATTGACTGACATTTTTTTTTCTGAGTTTTTCCAAAACTGGCAAAAGGGAAAATTCACTTTCATCTTTTGAATAGAGAGCCGATGGGGAACGAACACCCAAAACGAGGACAAGGATCTAAAGAGGAAGGTCCTTTAATGTCTAAATTCTGTTGCTGATGCTGATTCCTGATGTGTCATACCGCCCAGGATCAGGTCAAGACCTGGTGTTTTTTTTTTCTTCATAGCCCATTGTCTGATTCTAACTGTTTTCTAACCTTTCCAGCATTTTCACCTTTTTTTCCTATACTCTATCTCTTTCTATTTGTGTGTGTAGCTCTCTCTTTCTGGCTTCCTTTGTGTACTTGGTGTAAATATTTTCCCAGCATCCTGCAAACGTTTTGACAGTTTTTATTAGATCAAGGCCCCGAGGGCTACAAGTGGCGTGTGATAAATTGCGGCCAAAAATGCAGCTAAGCCAGGAGATGGCCCAGCCCAGATATCCTTCCCTCAACACACACACACACACAGCTAGATCCTCGCTAAGGACGAGTGTGGTAGAGATCTAGGATTATTGGTTTATAAGAAGATCAAGTGTCGTACACTTGGCTTCCCTTTTATTGTCTGATAATTCGTGACTTTAACACACACACTCTCTGGAGTTCTTCTCGTTTTTGGCAATTAGAGAGTCCTGTGCGCTCCTTCCACAGGACAAGGGGAATATAAATCCCTTTACCGGGATTGTAATCTCTGATCTTTTGAGGAATTTTAATTGCCAGATATTAAAATCTTGGAATCTAAACCTTGGAAGGGGGTTGGGTTATTTATTGTTTAATTTATTTAACTACATTTGTTAATGGAAGATGTTGGAGTTCTAAGAGTGTGGGATGGGTTTTTATGGGAAGTACTTCTAAAAATACTTCCTTTGATTTTTTTCACAAAATTCTTTCATAATATTATGTATTTTAATTCCTTATTAGTAAAAGATACTCGAGATCTTTGAGATCTTACAGTTTTGGATGGGTTTTAATGGTTAGTACTTATAGATACTCCCTATGATATTTTTTTAAATATTCTTCATTATATATTAATAATTATATCTCATATTTAGTAGAGGATTCTATAGGTTTTGGAGTTCTGGATGAGTTATTATAGGTATTACTCCGAAAACTACTCCCTAGAATTTCTAAAATACTTCCCATGATGTTTTTCTTAGATTATTTTATAAACATCATGAAGATCTTTAAATTTTGGAGGGGTTATAATGGGAATTACTAAGAAAATACTCAATGAAGTCTTTAAAAAATCTTTCAATCCAATATTTCTAACATTCTTCTATCATATCATGGATAATTACTACTTATTTATAAAAGATCCTTAAAATCTTTAATTTCTGAATGATTTTGTATAGAATACCACTCTTCAGAACTTCTATCTTATAAATACTTGAACAAAACTCCATTAAAAATTGCTCCCCATTTGCAGATCTTTCAGATCTATAAGTTCTGTATAAGTTTCTATAGTTCTAGATGTTTCTTCTATCTATAAGAAAACTCCCCATTAACTTCACCCCAAAACCCCTAAACTCTTCTTCAAAAAACCCTCTCCGATGCAATTTTTCAAACATCCATTCCATTATTGTGATCAATGATATAACATCATAACTCATCATAACCAATAAATGATCCATAACTCATCTTCATCCCCAAACATTTGATTGATGAACTGTGACTTGGGAATCAAACTCTCACACTCACAACTAAAATATGCAGGATCCCCCATTGATTTGAAGCCACAAAAAAAAAACCCCAGCAGGCTTGGAATTCACAAAAAAATAATAAAGTCACACTATTAATTTGTTTTTATTTACTTTTCTCGGTTGGGCTATTTTTATTTTTTCTGTTTCGGTTTCAGGACTCAGACGATTTAGACAAATTTCAAGTTCAATATAACCAACTAGGATGCAAAATTCACAAGTGATCGGTAAGGTGAATGAAGGACTACGTCGCTGTTGGAGTCATCATCGTCGACTGTGCGATGATATTGCCGAGCTGGACAGATTGTTTGGTCAGGACGAGTTCCTATTGAATCCCCGCCGGCTATGGCAGCTGATCCAGCAGCAACAGCATCGCCAGGACGAGTTCCTTGAGCCAGAAATAATGGATGTGGAGAGTCGGATGGGGTTATTGAATTCTAGGAAGTGCTTAATAAGTCAAACGTTAATACCAATTAAAATTGAAAAGGTATATAAAAATAGTCCTGTCCTCAGTGGCTTTAGTTTCTATAATATAAGAGCTTGAACTTTGAAACTATATTTTAAGATCATTCTTACTTTGAAAAGTAAGAATTAAACAGTCCCGTGTCCGCCTAATAGTTCCAAGTTGTTTATTTTCCAAAAATCTAAGAGTTTAAGCTTTGAAACTGTTTTAAGATTCGATTTATGTTATAGAAAATAAATAACTGAAGAATTTGTTCTCCACTGGTTGTCCTTTCCTGAAAACTAAGAAATACCCTGTTCGCTTGTCCGCTTGCGTGTCCGCTTAATTCTTCTACTTGTTATATCTCCCAAACCATAAGACCTACAAGTCTGAAATTAAATACTTACAACCTCCTTCCCCTAGACGTTTAAAACCCCCAAAATAATTCGACCCTTGCGGAAGTTACTGCAACCGGAAAACTCATCAAGAACCAATTCAAAAGATAGCACCAATCCCCGTCCAGCACCCACACCATTACCTTCGCCGGAACGACGTCCCAGGATGAACTTTGGTCGTCCTCTACGAAAGTTGATGGCTCGTAACGGCGGCCAGAATCTACAAAAAAATTAAATCAGTGTGAAATCATAAGAGATGCCAAACGGTAGATGTCTTTTGGCCGAATCCTTAAGAGATCCTTGGAAGAGAAGTAAGAAGAGCCAGTGTTTTCTTAAGGATTACCCCCAAAAGCCTACCCCATCTCCTTAGCAAGTTTTGTTTCGGTTTTGGTTTCGGTATTTCGGTATTTCGTGCTGATCTCGTTATTGTTATGAATAAGTTAATAACATGGCGGAAGGCTTCTTTTGTCGTGGCCCAAAACAACTAACCAACCAACCAACCAACAACAACAACAAACACACAACAAGAGGCAACAGCGCTTATTAAATGATTGAAGCTTTTTTTTTTTTTTTGTTGGGGGGAGGTGGGGAACTCAAGCTGGGGGCCTCCATAAAAATGTTGGAAACCTGGTTCTCGTTTGGATGGCTTGGCTGGCTGGCTGGCTGGCTGGCTGGCTTGGCTTGGCTTGGCTGGTGCTTCTCCTTGTCCTCCTCCTTACTTATTCTTTGCTTTTTTTTTTTTGATGCTTCTTTTGGCTGCTTTGTGGTTTTTTTCAGCGACCACCATCAATAACAGAGGTACCGGCGACGGCCCGGGCCATATTTATGATTTGTTAAGCAACGCCGAACGTGCGAAAGGATAATCACAAGCGCCTGCTGGCACGCCCCCTTAGCCCCTTCCCAGCACACACCCCCTCTTCATCTTTTTTTTATTTTTTTACCCTTTTGCGGCATCGTGTGTGAGGCATTTCCAAAATTGAGTCAATGACTTTTATTTTTACGACTGGCTCTGGTGTGGTGATCTTGGGACTTGGTGGCGTAACTTCCATGAGATTGCTTTCAGAGGGTAAGGGCGAGATGTGGCATCCAAATCTCAGTTTTTATGACACTGCGAATTGAGCTATTAGAGCCGGACATGAGACTATTGGGTTACATAGATAATAAGCACCTGTATTTATACCCGGTACTTATCAACTCCAGATGCTGCGAGTGCGCTATAAACTTGATTATATTGATCTAAGCTTATTGCTTGTGTTTTTGGTTTAGAGTCTTGGAAGTTTGTTTTTTTTAGTCAAGTTTTGTTATTTATATCCGGTACTTCTTAGGGAGGAGTTTTAAATTGATTATTTTTAATGAAATTTCTATTTAGAGATCTTAAGAACGTTTGTTTCTTAAGTTTTATATGTTTCTGAGGACTTTTAGTTGTAGTTTGGTAGCAAGTAAGCTTTTTTATGATACCCGGTACTAATAGAGAAGATATTCTGTATAGATTCTATAGATATATGTAGATAGATCTAATCTATAGACAGACTATAGATGTAGTGTAATAGCTATAAAGGCTAAAGGATGATACGGATTATAGATAGAGATAGAGATTATAGAATATACTACTATTATCTAAAATGTATATAATTTTATTCTATAAAGCTACAATTCTTTAATAAAGGACAACTCTAATTATAGCCCAATTCTATAGGGTAATACTTTAAATTCAACATATATTACTGATATATCTATAACTGTCTATAACTCTGAAACCAAAAGAGGTTGAAATGCAAAAATTACTACAATTTTATTTCAAATTAATTTTTAGGTCACTGTTTTATATATTTCCGTATATTTTCATAGCTCTTGTCCTTCTTTTTTTTATTTTCTTTATCAAAATGGTAACAATTTTTGACCACCGGAGTTGGTAAACGCCCACATCTTAGATCCCGATCTGTGGTCCACTCAACGAGATCCAATTATGTACTACAGAATTTTTTTTGTAAAAATTCATATTCATTCCATGGCCTTTTAGTTTTATTTTTATTATTATTTATTTTTTGGGTGGTACCCGGGCAGCTGTCAAAAAAGGATGTCTCCCTGTGAGGCCTACCAGGACAGAAGAGGTTTCTGTCTTCCAAAAAGGCGAGGGGACTGTATAGGGAAATCAAGGAAGCTGTGAAAATTCCCGACTTCTTTAATGAGCGGCTTATTATCAATGGCGATGGCGATGATGCCCATTCCAATTTATTGTTCTTGTTGTTGTTGTTGTTGTCCGTTCTCGTCTCTGATTGTTAACCTTTGAATCGGAGAGGGCATTAAAAAACGTTAACAAGCTGCGTAGCGCCGTCGGCGGCGTTAATGTCGAAATTGGCGCTGGCCAGGAATGATCCAAAAAAAAAAAAAAAAATACGAAATAAAAAAAAAATAAAAACAAAAAAAAAGGGGAGCAGGTATCCATTCGTGGGACTGCGAACGTGTTTCTTAATGAAACAAAGCTTGAATTTTAAATGAGGATCATAAAGAACAATGAAAATGCAAGAGAGCCAGTCCAGCAACAACAAAGCGACACCGGCGGTCAGGACAGCGCGAAATAAAAGCGCAGAAATGTTAAATAAACAATAAAAAACAATCCGCAGCAACAGCCACAGCCAGAGACACACAACCACACACACATATACCCTTTAAGCCCCCATAAGTCCCAAAAGACCCCCTAAGTCTGCCCCTCCCCCACCCACATCATCCTCCCCCGTCGCATCCACCAGCCGTCTGTCAAATCCCAGCCAGCCAGCGGATTAAGCCCAGAGATGGATATGCTCGATCCAAAACGATCCGATCCGATTCCGAATCGAGAAACGTCACTGGGAGTGGGTACTACGAATTGTGGATCCTCTTTCAAGGGGTTTTAATTTTTTTGAAAATATTAAATAAATATTTATGGTTTAGTTTTCATTTATTACTAAATAATGGCAATAATGGCAAAGCTTCGATTGAGAGAATTCCAAAGAACCCAGGCCTAAATCATGTCCTTACTTTTCTCATCAGGTTCTTTTAATGAAAGCCAATTTTTATTAAAAATCGATGGGAATATCGATAGAAAAATATATACAATAATTGTTTTTTGATAAAAATTAAATAATTAGTTTATTTATAAAATATAGAATATTGAAAGTATATAGGTATATAGTTAAAACGATAAAAACACTTTTAAATAGGTCTCTATATATTAGTAATCTTTACTTTTAAGTGAGACCTAAGCCTTAAAATCTAAGAAATAGTTAAGTTTTAAAGTCTAAAATCTTATTCTAAACCAAAAATAAATTCCCATATAATTGTTTTCTAACGTTTTAGAGAACTATTAAAATTTGTAATAATTAGGATTATTATATTAAGGATTATCAAGATTTTCATTAAAACCAGGTTCTTGAAATTCTCTTAAAAAATACTTAAAATGTTGTATCTTTAATCATATGTTTAAAATAATATAAAAACATAATTTTTTAATAAAAAGAAGTTCCTATTGTTGTTGATAAGGTCCTATTTTTCTATAAAATTTATATTTTTAGATAAATTTTAAAATAAAACAAACTCTAATAAAAACTATACTGAGACATATTAGTGCCTCTATTTTTAAAACCATTAATAAAATCATTAAAAATAATACATATCTTACAAAAGTCTCCTATCTACCGACTATACCCCACTTGATTTTCTTAAAAGTTAGAGTATCGCTCCGATAATCATGTGGGTTGGGATGTAAAACTTTTGCCGTCACTGGTTAAAGGATTCGCAAATGATTCTGCGGTCAAAGATGAAATGAAACGAAGCCCCCAAAAACGGGTGAAGAAGGCAGAGGAGAAGAGGGTCAGAGAAGAAGAAGGGTCTTGTGAGCCGGGAAGCTCACAACCCCATAGTTGATACTCCACTGGTGCTGGCCATAATTGGTGCTCATCTTAATGGCATTAAAATTGCATTATCGCTGTATTTATTGAAACGGTTTGTTTTAACAAGATTAACTCGACGATACCACAAAATGATTAACAGCAAAAAGGTAAAAAAAAAAAATAAAGAATACAAAATAAGCCGCAAAACGGTATAAAAAAAAAATAAAGACTGAAGAATCAGAAAACGATCAGATTCGCGATTATTTATTTTTGTTTTTTTGTCGCTTGATTGGCTGTTTATTTATTTTTATTTTAAGGTTTCTGGTGGAGGATCATAAAAATCTTTTTATAACATGATTTCATATCATTTTTTAGATGATTAGATTCAATTTTCACAGCTACCGAAAGTATATACCTATAGGGGAATTAAGGATTATGAATACATTTTGATTGCGATTCCTATTGAATCACCACCAACCACCGGATGATGATGACGTTCCCTATGCATTCCGAGAACCTTTTAGATTTGATCCTACCAAGGACTTCCCAGAATATTTATTATTTATTAATATTTATGAATACAAATTAAATAAAAGAAGCAGAGCAGCCAAAAGCAGAGCCGATCAAAGGTTTATTTATGGGATCTCCATTAAGCTTTTTAATTTCATCAGGCCCTGAAATTCCCAAAAAAAAAAAAACGATATAGTTGGGAATGCGTTCAAGTTACGCACTGGTTTTGGTTTTGGTTTCTTTTTTTTATGATACTTTTCTGATAACTTTCTATTTCGTAATATTGCCAGGTTTTTGGTTGGTAGCTTTGGTAGTTATAGAGCTTTTATTAAAAATTCTTATAGAGATATATAGATTATGTGAAAGATATTATAGAGTAGCATACCACCTATTTTTAGCCTTTAGACCTTTACCCTAAGAACACCTTCTCTTTTACCTTGAACCAAACCCTATCCCTTAGATACTTTGACGCATGGAATGTTTATCTGGTAAAGATATATCGCTCCCGGATCGTGCGTCAGCGACTACAATTAACTAGATTGAATGCGGATTGCGGCGATTTATGATTTATTATCAACGGCGGTATGGGGATTTATGAGCCTATCCAGATGACCTGGCATTTGCAATTGATTGCCGTGTTGCCCAATTAAATGAAATGTCAAATGGGTAGTGCTACGTACAGTAGACTACGCACGGGACGAGCCTCCACTCGAGTATGGGGGCGTGTCACCTCCCCCCTGATCTTATCTATATATGGGAATGATAACTAAATTGATGATAAGGCCCAGCGACGACCTTGTTGCATCAGAAAATGTTGCATTATTGTTTGGCTTTTGCCGGGAAGTAATATATATATTGGGGGGTATTTGTTGCACTAATCACACTAATATAATGCTATTATATGTCTGGCGGACAACTGGATTTTTTTGTCGCAATTCACAATTTTACAAGGGTCTAATAAATACTTAATAAATTGCTCATTTATCGCAAATTGCTGGCCAATTATAAAATGATAAAATAAATGACACGAGAATTTTAAAGTGATGAGTGTAGGAATTGGGCTTTTAAAATTCTTAAATTAATGGTTTTTTTAAGTTTATAATTAATAGTTTGTTTATTTAGCATTTAAGTTTTGCTAAGCTTAAGTTTAAGGCTTTTATTTGAATTTTTAGATATTTTTTA